CACTTTCTTATTGAAAATACATCGTCATGAGTGTGCAAAAGTTTTCCACATACAATAATATTAGTTAATTGCAGTGTTAAAGAGTGAAAATACACTCTCTCTTTTTTGTAATATTAAAAAGACATCGTCATGAGTGTGCCAATGTTTTCCCCATACAATAAGATTAGTTAATTTGATTATCAAAGTGTTTTTTTTATTTAAACTAGATTATTAAAGGATTTGATAAAATAATTCAGTACTTAAAATTGAATATATTAAATGATAATCAATTAAGTTTGTTTGATAATCACAATTGATATAACTTAAAAAGTACCTCTTAAAATATAAATCAAAACTTAAAAATATAAAACTTATTTAATTCTGATTGAATTTATACTATCGTTTGATAATCACAATTGTTATAGCTTAAAATTTTAAATACCTCTTAAAATGTAAGTCAAAACTTAAAAATATAAAATTTACTTAATTCTGATTGAATTTATACTACCACTATCATCGCTATTACGACCACTATTACTATCGCTACTATTACCGTTACTATTACCACCACTACCACTACCACTACCACAACTACCACCACCACCACTACCACTGTCGCTGCCACCACCACTTTCATTGCTATTATCATTCTTATCATAAGTACCACTATTATTTTACTAATACTATCATCCGTACCGCCACTACCACCGCCGCCGCCACCACAATATAAAAATTAAAATATACAATTTAAAAATAATAAATTTTAAATTTGATCTTATACATATCAAACAATTTATTTTTAGTTCAACACTTAAATTTTTATCAAATAACTTTTCAACTTAAAAAATTTAACATTAATTTTTAATTTTCACTTTATCAATCCTTCACTAAGTGATGTGGTCAATTTGGAACCAAAAGCCATTGAGAAATTATATGTGATTCTTAATTCAATTTATATTATTTTTTACTGCATTGTGCTAAAGTTTCTTTTAGGGGATTTGAGAGGGTAAAATGTGCAACTCTGGGCTGAGCTAAGACTGGGTAGAAGCGAGCTGAGCTGGGGGCTAAGTAGAATGGACTTCGCCATTGGGCCTAGTTAGCTCGGTCATAAATAACTAAGATAGTCCAGTTAGAGTATGCCAAACCGAGGTACAGGAAGCTAAAAGGAGGAACCGAGCTAAGTGAAGCTCGATTGAATCTACCGCTTAAGCATGGCAATGTTAGCTCAGTCGTTTTGTCATACTACCAAGGTAAAACCATTTCACTTGGTTAAAGCAGGGAGAAGGGTGTTAAGGGATAAGCATTATCTCTTAAAGATGTGATTCCTAAGAGGACTCTACATTGAGGAGTAAGAGTCCTACTAGAATTGTGCCACACAGAATTTATAAAAGCTCATGGAAGGACCTATGTACAAGTATCATAATTTTGACTCTCAAATATACGGAGCTTTTGTCTATTGTCTATTTGCTGACTTAGGCATCGGAGGGGTTTCCAACACACACCTGCCGGCTAGCTCACGTTTGTGTTTTCAGGAAGTAAAGCGACAACGTTTGGAAGAGCGCAAACTTGATCAACAGGATCATACGAGAC